AATTGGAAGGCGTTCAAGGAAATTCTATGCAGTAAATCAAGTCAAGCAAAGACAAATACTGGATGTTTTCGTAGGGGACATTTTGACAAAGGAAATATGTATAAAAATGAGGGGACGCTGATGAAGTGAGGTCTTTGAGGTTGGGAGGGAGAGGAAAGATGGGTGGACAAGGGGTTACAGAAAAGATACGATTACAGAAAATATGGACTTTGGGGGGGTACAAAGTTGGATGATTATTAACATGTTGTAATCAGAGAAAAACAAAATATTTTAAGATTAACCATCGCCAAGTGTCAGAGACCCAGCCACAGCCACGCCTGAACTTCTCCTATGCTTTAGTATTTTTTTTAACCTCCTCTTTCCCTGCCAGAGTCTGAGATGAACGCTGCCCCCAGCAACCAGGCCGGAGGGCTCCCCTAGTGTTTCTGAAGTGCTTGTGATATGCAAATGTGTGCCCATTTGTCTGCGCTCCCCACTGAAGTGCATGTCCCCAGGGGACAGGAGCGCAGGCAGGCAAGATCAGTGCCAGCCACAGGGAAGATACCCCGAGCCTCTGATCCGCGCCCACACACAGGGGCAGGCGATCCTGCCTCCAGGAGCCCTGGCTGTTTTCCTCACGTCACTAGCCTCTTCCCAGTTCCACCCTTTTTCTTTTCATGCTCAGCTTGTGGTTCAGGAGAACTTGGCCAGAGCCAGCTACGAGGTAGATGAATCCACTGATTTTCCTCCACGATAGCGAAGAGGATGAAAAGGGAGTGAAAGTGGCTGAGGAGTTAGGTTGAGAGGCTGAAATTCCCAGGGTCCTTCCACGGGGGCGGAAAGGGTCCCCTGGGGAGGTCTGTTTGTGGACAAGGGAAGGAGCTGATTCAACTGTCCTCCAGTGGGAAGAAAAAATTAAACAGAACGGTTGATGGGGAGAGGGAATGTCTTCTCCAGAGAGCTGAGGCGGCTTCCAGGTGCGAGGTGGGCAGCAGTGCAGTGCTCCGGACAGCGTCTTCCTGCGGGGCTGTTGAGCTGGCAAATGTGTGTGTGTGTGTGTGTGTGTGTCAGGCTGTGTGGGGCAAGGCAGGGGGACGCCAAAGCACAAAATTCCAGTGAATTCAACCCGTGCTGCAACGGAGAGCCCCGCAGGTATCCGCCACACCTGCACGGGATTACCCCGCAGTGCTCGCGCGCAGGTGGGAGGGGAGCGTGAGCTTTATCTGTATCCTCTGCCTCGAAAAAGCTCCCGAGAGACAGCAGCCTGCAGTGAGAGGTGCGGGTTTTTCAGTTACTAATGTTTAAAGGGTAACATTTCCTTGGCTTCCTGAAACAGAACCAAGGCCTCTTTAGGGTCTGCTTGAAAGGAAAATTTGAAGGTGTTTCTCCTGCCGGCATCCGCCAGGGTAGGAGAAAAAGAGCCAGCAGCAAGTCACGCATCTGCCCTCGGATCGCATGGTCTTTCGGAGACAGCCCCAGCTTGCCTTGGCTGAGTTCTTGGAGGAAGACGCCAGCCCGGGGAAGGGGCTTGTAGGTTCCGGGCTGGTGGAACGTTGCATGCAAAATATTGAGTACGGGCTTGCCTCGCTGCAAAGAAGTGGAGCATCCTCATTGGTATGATTTTGTGGGTTATTTTTCAGGACTGGAAACACTGGTATGTTACCATTAATTTATATGGACTAATTTTTAAGTGTTCTCTGGCCCCCCAAATAGTCCACCAAGTCATACCAAGTACGAACAGTCTACTTTCTGATAACAGGGGAAAGCTGCGTTGATGCATATTCTGAGGGTGCATAGATTTCATCAGCTTCTTAAGTCATCGGCCCAGGAAAGCTTAGCATGTGCTCACCACCTTCCTTCCACGTGTAATTGAAGGCGTTTTAGAAAAAAAAAGTAAAAGAACTGTCAACAGAATGAGTTCTCTGTGGATCTTAGCTGATACTGAAGTGGAAGAGAACTCTGCAATCATGAGAGGAAGGGAAAATTCACCAAAGAGAAGATGGATGCATTTAATATTCAAAACTGGAATTCTTTCTATACAAGAAAACTCATTAAAAAAGACAAATCAAGGGAAAGTGTATGAGTTGTGGAAAAGGGTAAATCTACTGGGAAATTCTTTATCTACTGGGAAAATACTCTCACAAATCAAGGAGAAAAAAACTAGGAAAAAAACAGGCAAAGAATAGAAAAGAGTTTAGAGAACAAATAGTTAACAGCAGCGGGAAGCTGGGCGCAAGCGAGGCTCCCACCAGCCCGTCTAGTCCTCGCTCAGTGACATCACATTAACAGCGAGACTGGGGGGCCATGGGGGGAGATTTTACAGCAGAGAGAAGATCTAGAAACCCAGGCTTTTTTTTTTTTTTTTTGACAGCCAATTTGCCAGCACACCACTGGTTAATAGACATGTAAAAAGTGGTTCAGTAATCACAGAAATGTAAAGAAATGAGTCTGCACAGGATGAAATAAGCACATTTTACTTGATTCCTCCTATACATTACAACAAGGAAAACTGGAGAAAATTCATAAAGCAACTTGTGATCAATTTTGAAAATTATGCTTGAGGGTTGAAAGCAATCACGACACTTCTGAAGTGATTTTCAATGTACCAAAAGGTAACACTTAGTGTCATAAAAGGAGGGAGATAAAGGAACCTAAGAGGCATAAAGTTTTTACATTCCACTTGCCATAAAATAGCGACACCATGACTCTGTGACAAATTGTGTACATATATTGTCATCTCCGGGAGCAGCCATGTTTCACTTAGATGATTTTGCCCCCAGAGGGCACCTGGCAGTGTTTGCAGACATGCTGCTGACATCCAGCTGAGGGAAGTCAGGCTGCTGCTAAGCCACCTGTGAGCCACGGGGCCATCCCCGCCCATAAATGTCATTGATGCCAAGGTTGAGAACACCTGCCCTAGAGCAACCACACACAAAACTACACAAGATGGACTAAAAAACAAACCACCACTATAGAAAAACCAACATGGAACACTAGAAAAATGTTCAACTCGTAGGAATTCAAAAGAGCAGCAAGCACAATTCTACAAAAATCAGGAACTAACAATACTGAAACAGTAGACTTAAATCTTAACATTGATTGCATTAAATATACGTGGTCTAAACAACTATTTATTAAAAGACACTGACGGCCAGAGTGTGTGAAAGAATCCACATAGCCCAGTCGTGTGCTGTCTATGGGAAATCCATTTCAAATGTTAGGACATAGGTTAAAAGTTAATGGTGGGGAAAGACACACCTTGCAGATGCTAATGACAACTCAAGTGGATACACGAATCTGAGATAAAGTACACCAGTGAAAAGGAACCAGCAGAGCTAAGGCGGGACGGTGCACAATAATACAAGGTCAATTCAAGAGAACACAGCACCCCTAATTGTGCGTCACAAACAGCAGCTCTTCAAAACACACGAAATGAAAGCTGATGGACCGAAAGGAGATACATTTTCAGAAGGAAACTACAACATCCCCCCTCAGGAATGGACAACACCACTAAACCGAAACAAACAAACAAACCAACCGATACTTTATGCCCCACATTGACAAAGTCCTGAAATGTCAGTGCTGCCGAGGTGGCGGATGCACTGTGATAATGTGGGGACATACACGGATGCGACATCCTGGAGAAATATTTATCCATCAGGAATCTTCAGTGGAGGAACCATTTTCAACCCATTATTTCCACTTTTAGGGATTCTCTTAAAAGAATCATTAACTGGTTCAAAATTAACATCTATGACTGTACCCAGTGCATGTATAAACAAAACAAACAAACAAATAAGTAAATAAAACATGCCTCTAAAAAAAAAAAAAACAAAATTAACATCTAGACCTTCATAGTGGAGTTATTTACCACCTCCAAGCAAAAATTAGTGATGCTTAAACACACCTGTTCATTGGCACATTCTTAAAACATTATTCTATGTCCACACACAATGATATTATTAAAATAACATCTTTAAGAATTTTTTTTAAACTTTTTTTTTTAAACATTTACTTATTTATTTATACAAGCACTGGGTACAGTCAGAAGCACGGGAGGGTGAGAGAATTCACCAGAGCCAGAGTAGGGGGCAGAGCAGCCGGCAATTGAACCGGCGCTGCAGAGGCTGCGGGCAGCTTCGCAACCCAGCGCTCAACCTCTGCGCCACCGGGGAGGCCCCATCTTTAAGAATTTTTAATGCTACTACAGTAAACAGGAATGCTTTTAAGGCCCCAAAAGACCAGCATATAAATCAACGCATGTAGAGAATAACTTATGTTAAAACAAACATATAACTATACTAAAAGTCATCAGAAGAAAATAAAACAATGATAGCAGTGAAAAAACCATCAGTGATTATCGCTGTGTTTTCATTCACATATTTTTACCCATCCCCAACTTGTGAAATGATATTGAGCTCGTTTTTATCCCTCAAGTGACTGTTTCATTGTCCAGCCCAGTTATTAATAGCGCCTGCGCCATTCCCAAGTGTCAGGGTAGACGTAAGTTGCATGGCCGACCCCGTCATTCTGGATCTAAAAAGATCTTTTATCCTTACTATCCACCAAGCCCCATACTGAAAGCTTTACGTTACCTCATTGTCCCCTACCCGGAGCTGGCTAATCTCCGTTTACAGAGGCATCAGAAGCTAAGCTGCTGGTGGGCCTCCCTGGTGGCACAAAAGGTTAAATCTCAGCACTATGAAGCTACCGGCAGCCACTGCAGCATGAGTTTGATTCCCAGCCAGGGAGCTACCCACAGGGCGCAGCAGACCTCTCCTGTCTCTCTGCTGCTCCCCTCAGCAGTGTGTTTCAGTAGATCTGCCTGTCCTGCTCCCCACTCTCTCTGGTGAGTCCTCTCAACCGTGCCCCCGCCCCCACATCTGGCCTACACCCCAGCTCTTGTATGCATAAATAAAACAAATCCAAAAAAAAAGCTAAGCTACGGGTCCAAGTGCAGTCATCGGCAAGTAGCACAGTCTGGCTTTGAACCCACCCTGCTGTGCGCGGCGAGGGCCTACCTGGGCTTGCCGAAGTGCGGGGTTGGCCGGCAGGGGTCTGGCGGGAACGCTGGGGGCCCGAGGAGCGTGGTGGAGGGGCAGGAGCACTCGCTGAGGCGAACTGGGCGGAGGGAGGTCAAGGGCCGTGAGGGGTCCACTGATGTCCACGTTCTGACCCTGTGGGAGTCTCCTGGGATTGTCCTGCAGGTGGAAGCAAGCAACCATGATGGAATCGGCCTCAAAATGTTTCTGTAATTCCTTACAGCTGGGGTGGGTGTGGGGGCACAGGAGACAGGTCAGGAATCGTTGGAGGGGGAATCTACTGCTACTTATTTCAACTTCAAAACCCTGGCCCGCAGCCGCCCTCATGTGCACAATTGGGTAGGCTCTGGCAGACGCCCACACCACGAAACCATTGCCATGAGCAAGTGCTGAACGGGGAACACCCCCATGGGTTCCCGCCCCTCCACCCTTGCCCTTCCCTGCAACGATGGACTCCCCAGACAGCCGCCACACATGAGCCCGCCTGTTCCAAGTGCCACAGAAGGCGGCACTGGGCGCGCTCTTGTCCTGGCCGGCTGCTCTCCCGCGGCACCAATGCTCTGAGATTCATCTGTGGCAACGTGCAGCGGGGAGCACTCCCCTCACCGCCATGGGGCGTTTTGGGTGGAGATGCCAGAGTCCATTTGTCCTCCTGCCTGGTGATGGTCTTGGGGCTCGCTGGCAAAGCTGCTGCTGCTCCAGGCCCACGCTGCCCATGCAAGGAGCAAAAGCTCACGAGGAGCAGCCGCCTCCTCTCTGGGGCCTGACACCTGACACTCTTTGGATGGGGACATAGACAGTCCATTGCCTGCTGGATATGGGGCAATGATTTCTCAAGCTCAGTGCTGACCGCTGACTGCTCACGGCTGTCACCTGGACACATTAAGCTCAGTGTTCAACATTTCTTTGGTGGGGAAAATGAAAAATTCGAGTGGACCCTGGTGCTAATTCCCCAGGGGAGTGGAAGGTGAAGAGACAGCAGGGAGCCGGGAGGCACCCCGGGTTAGGGGCCAGTTCTCCGTGATGGTGGGTGGACAGAGCTCCCACCAGCAGGGCCAGAGCAGCTGGAAGGGCCGAGGCTCTGGGTAAGTCTTAGCAACACCCCGGGAGTAGCAGGGGGCGCAAATCAGCTCACCCAAACTGAGTCGGTGGCCAGAAGGGGCTGAGGGTCACAAGCCTGCGTGGGTGGTGGGCCCAGAGGCCCCCTGGGAATCTGGCCAGTCAGGATGCCTGGAGGCAGCAGGCTGACGATGAACCACCTGCCATGCCATGCGGGGACTCGGTCCACCCATGCGGGTCCAGCCGTGCTTCCCTGGGCACTGAGAACCTCCCTGCGGGCCCTGACTGTCCCTTCCGTCAGTCTGTCTTGCCGATCGCCTGGACTCAGCCTCTTCTGGGGGGCCTCTCGAGGATCATTCCCACTCTGGGGTCCTCCTCACATCCATGCACTCACCTTCGGCGCACTGGAATGTGGTGGCTTCCGCATCAGGCCCTGGCCAAGGGGGGCGAGGTGAGCCTGACCAGGCTGGGAGGCTCCGGGTGGCTGGGGCGGCCGCACACACCTGGAGGAAACCCCAAAACACGATCAGCTTTCACAATTTAACTTTCTCTATTTGCACAGTCATGCTCAAAGTGCAAGGTGCTGACTTCAACTCAGTGCGGTAAACAATAAAGGAAAATTATCCTCTCAGAAGATTAAAAAATATCGATTCTCCCCACCCCCCCAGCTGCCATTCTGATAAATTCTTATCACTCATAGAAACACAGCTTTGCTGCACGAGGGAGGCATTAGGTACAAAGCTGGCATTTCAGCTATAATGGCTTTGAAGATATTTGGATCAAAAGTTACCCAAACTGATGAAAAAAACTACATATCCGTCTCGTAAAAAGTACTAATGAGGGCCTCCCTGGTGGCGCAGGGGTTGAGCGCTGGGCTGCAAAGCTGCCTGCAGCATCTGTAGCACCGGTTCGATCCCCGGCTGCTCCCCGGCCACTGGGTGTAGGTCCCGCATGGCGCGCAGACCTCTCCTGCTGCCCGCTGCTCCCCTCAGCAGTGTATCTCGTCCTTCTGCCTGCTCTGCTCCCCGTTCTGGCTCTGGTGAATTCTCTCACCCTCCCAAGCTTCTGGCTGTACCCAGTGCTAGTATAAATAAATAAATAAATCTTTAAAAAAAAAAAGTACTAATGTAGGCGTGAAAAACACACATCAGCAGAATTCATCAATGACCCTACTCTTTTCTATAATAAGCTGCACAGCATTTGAAGGGAAAGTAAAGGAGACAGTTGGTCTGGCAGGAACTTAAAAATGCCAAAAAGTGTCTTCTGAATGTCCAGGAAATCTGGCCTCTTCCTTCCAAGGCGAACAGCCGAGAGGCAGCTGCAGGCGCGTCCTTTCAAACACCATTTCCCACAGAGACGGCCCAGCCCAGCACCTTAGCTTCTCGATGGTGGTCTTCTTATTTGTAAACAGCAGTTGTAGCAAGGCCTTCCTCTTGAGGTAAACCACAAGCCCGGCAGCAAGCAGACACAGGATGGTCAGCAGAATCCCGATAGTTAACCCTTGGTTATCTGCAATGAAAGGTCTCCGGCTCAGGGGACAGTCACGTGAAGAGCATGCGGGGGCACCAGGGCGACACCGATGGCAGGGGCAGTGCCCAGCGGTCACCGGACCAGCCTCCATCAGCGGTCGCGCCAATGCTCAGCTGTGGGGCTTGCTGCCGGGACTTCCGTCGGGGAGGTGGAACCCGCGCTGACCACAGAGGACCCCACGTGCACCAAGAGGGGGCAGTGACCATAGAAAGTCACCGGGACCATCATTAAAAGCCTGTCAGATTAAAAGGGGCCCCCAAACGAAAGCCTGTCTCGCACCCACCACTGCAGAGCGACCCAGCCCTTCCTCCTCAGCCCTTCGTGTGCTTACCCTGGCCCTGTTTCACCATTAGGGACTTAAAATCCCGCCTCTGGGGGCCGACTCCTTTCCCCGGGAGCCCGTGTCTACTCCCTGGACACATCCTCGGCCGGGACTCGTCCACGTGGTGAACACAGGGCACCCAGGTTCCTCAGGGTGTGGGAGGAAGAGGCCAAGTCACCCCCAGGGTCCTGCCTGGCCCTCAGCTCCACGTGTTTGCTCCTGCAGGTCCCTTCTGTGGAGGGAACACCGCTCCTCAGGCCCGGGGCCTGGCCGGCGCCCACAGGGGGACCCTCATGCTTCTCGTGTCCGGCCTTTGTCCCCAGCCAGCGAGGCCTGTCGGGACGCGTCTCAGCCTAACTGGACCATCAGCAGGGGCGGCGTGATGCTGGGGGAGCCTGGGCTTCCTGGCCCACACGCCACGCTGGCTCCTCGGCCTGCTGTCTGTGGTCTTTCGCTGGACTCTTGAGCCACGGGTTCTAGTTCCTCACAATCAAATGCCTAACTCTTAAACGAATCAATTTATCCAGTTGGACACTCACAAGGCCCCCAAATGAGCCGGTTCCTCCCCCGACCCGGGCGCCTGTCTCCATATCGCCATAAAAAGCGCCAACCATTGAGCTGCTCGACCAGAAACCTGGGCAGTTTGGTGACTCCCGCCCTGTCCAGCGAGCACCGTGTCCTCTGGAGCCCACCTTCCGCACAACCCCCCCTCACTGACGGCAGCTGTCTACTCTGTTTCTGCCTGCTGCAGGCGGGGGCCGAGGTGGTGACCGCGGGAGCATGTGGAGACACAGCCACAGTCAATCAAGCAGGATGACCCCTCCTCGCGACACGGTGCAGAGGGTCCTGCCCTCCCGCGCGCCGGCCTGGCCCTGCGCATGTTGTGTCTGTTGTCATGGAAATGATGGTCGAGTCACGGGTCAATGTGCTGCTCGCAGCGGGACCCAGGGACATGCCACGTCCTCTGCGGCAGCGTGGGCCACTGTCTGGGTGTCCCTGGGCCTGGGTGACGCCCACCTGCCCCCCAGGGGGCCCTGTCTTCACTGCCTTTCTTTGCCTTGCTTCTTTCACATCAAACCTCACCGGGCCTTGCCCCGCAACCGCCAGCCAGAGCTCAGCGCAAACAGTCAGCACCTGGAGGCCATTTCTCGAGGTTGAGAATCTCAAGGTCGTTCGGGCACTTAGGCCTCTAGCACAGCTCAGCTGCCCCAGAGAGAGACAGACTCACTGCTGTCCTGGCTGTGCCACTTCAGACGGGCGCTGAGCCCCGTGGTGCCTCCGGACCTCCGCATGTGGGGAGAGGGCAGTGACCTGCCTCCGCGTCCTCGGCTTTAGGTGGGACACCACCTATGAGGCCTGCCGGCAGGTGCATGCACCAAGCAGGCTGTTGCCACGACTGCTGCTCCTGCTGGGAGTGGCGTTGGGGCCGGGCCGGTGGGGTGGGGGGTGGGGGGTGTCTCCTAGTGAGAGTTTAGAGGCATTCAACCTCACCCCCCTGGGCCCTAAACAGAGCCTGACCTTTGCAGCCCTGTAGCTCTGCGGCAGGGCTCACAGCGCTCGGGCAGTTTGCTGTTGAGATGCCCTCATGCCCACCAGAAGGGCCGCAGACTGAGAGCTGCCTTACTTCCCGCGGTTAAAACAGAGCCCGAGTCCCTGCCAACGTCAGGCAGGGCTGAGGGACACCTCAGGCGTGCCCAGGGGTGGGGTCCCCACCAGGTTCCAGCACAGCGGGGAGCCCAGCACCTCTGCCCCCGGCCCGTCACGCTCACCTGCTTGCCGGCTGGGGCCGCTGTCCGTGCTCCCTCCAAAGCCAACCCGGTCGCAGAAGGGCGGCGCCCAGCGGGCCTCGCAGTGGCAGTTCTTCCTGTTGTTGCAGACCTGGCGGCAGGGACCCCAGCGGGGAAGCAGCCTCAGAGCCCGGCCCGCCGGGGACTGCCCGGACTCTCAGAGCCCTGCTGGGCTGGACCCGGAGACCCCCCACCTTGGGGCTCTGGCAAGTGGCCCCAGAAGCTGCTTTCGGCAGAGCGAGCGGCAGCAGGTGACGAGTCTTTCACGGTCACCAGTGGCCCCACTGGGGCTCCGGCTGCAGGCAGAGGCCAGCAGGGATGGCGGATGGCGGTGCCCCGGGGCCGGCTGTGGCTCCTCCAGCTGCAGGCAGTGTAGCCCGGGGATTCAGTGCCGGGATTAGGGGATGCCCCATCAGGTGGGAGCCGCGAGCTGGTTGGTGCTACCGTCCAATCAGACCTGGGGAGGGCCTGAAAGAGGAGACCAGGCAATACCCGCCTCCTTCTGGCAGCCTCCTGGGGGCTGCCGGGCCTCATGGTGCGAGCTTGGCTCTGGGCGGCAGGAAAGGTGCCAAGGAAGCGGGGCAGGGGCCTCACTCTGGGTGGGCCCCGGACACATGTCCTTCCTGGGAGACCAGAGCACTGTGGGCAGGGCCGGCTCCCGCTTGCCTTTCCGTCCGTCTTGTTCCCCGGTCACTCGAGACCTACTGCGTGAACCAGCACAGGGGGCATGAGAACAAGAGCGCGCGGATTCTGCGACTTTGCGCTGAAGACTTTGGCTGCACAAGACTTTGCACAAGCCTGGCTGCGGAGCTGCAGCGGGGCAGGCCGGAGGGACAGGCTAGGTGGCTCCTGTGCTCCCTGCCACTTAAAGGGACGCACTTAGTCCCACCGAGGAGGCACCTGGAGGCTCAGTCCGGGAGTTAGCTCAGGGCTGCCGGCCTCAGCCCTGCAGCAAAGTCTTGCACACATGGAGAAAGAAAAGGTGTGGAGGTGTGTCTCGTCCGTGGGGTCCCCTGTCTGCACTGGCTTCCTGGTGAACCAGCCGCCTGCACAAGGGGAGCCCGCACTGAGGCTGCCTGCAGTCAGGTCGTGACCCAGCATGGCCTCGGCCAGATCCCCCAGGTCTAGGTGCTGTACCCACAGTTTTGTGGGGTCTCCCCACAACTCACAGCCATGTGCCCGTGACATAGCTGGTAGTGGAGAGGGCCCCCGACACCCCAGGTGGGGGTGCTGCCGGGGAGTCTGCTCCACCCACCCAAAAGACCTGGGCCTTCCCGGCATGCCGGGGCCCTAGGGTGTGGGAGAGAGAGGAGCCCAGGGCCCCCACTTAGCCCTGCTCCCCGTGACCACGCAACCTTGGGGCAATGCTCGCTGTTCCTGGGCCTGGGTTGCTCTGTCGGAAGATAACGAGGCCACAGTGGATCGTCTTGCATTTGAGGGAAATCCACGATCCATGGAGACAGGAAAAGATTTCATTTTATATCCTGTGTCGCCTGACTCAGTCAGCAAGCCCACTGGAGGTGGCGCCCCCTCTTCTATGGCCACAAACCGCCCCCCCATTTCTACAGAAGAATAGTGTCTGCAAGATTTGAAAATAGAATTTGGAGCATGATTTCTATAGGACAGGTCTCACAAGAACAAATGAGCTACTGGTGTGGCTAATCAAGATGAATATGATTCCACTGGAAATAATTAAGCCCATCAGGAAAAATAAATGATGTTTTAAACAATTAGAGTCTTCTCCCCTAAAATGTCTCTGAACTAAAATAACAGCCTTTGGTCGAAGGCTATTGTATGCGACTCCAGGAACGTGTGGCCCGTCTGCCCTGTCTTCTTCGCTTAATTCCTTTTGGAAGTATTTGGGTTCAGAGGCGACTCTGCCCCTGGGGTGCTGGGGGGCAGCTCTGTTTGAAATGGTAATGCAGAACCCTCCCAGAAGGAAGGTCACTTTTGAAATTACTTTGAAGATGACAAAGTCCTTTCTTAAAATCACAGAATGTTAATTTGAAAGATAATTACTGCTCAATCTGATTTTCTTTGTTAAATAAAAACCATTTCTTTTGCTGTGTGAAGGTCAAAGGAAATGACTGTCTTCAGAAGAAAATATCGAGAAGTTTCTATATGTTTAAAGTCATGGATGTCCAGATCTTAGGAAGGCCTGAGTGCTCAGCTAGGGGGGTGGGTGGGGGCTCATGGGGTGAGTCTGGCTCCCGAGGGCCCTCTTCCCTGCTTACCCCTCTGCCGCGGCACTGCCTGGCACACTCCAGAACCCCGAAGACGCTGATATTCTGACACCGGCGGTTGAGGCAGAGCTGCAGAAGGGAGGAAAACAACAGCCCTCTCAGGCCCTCTGCAACTGAGTCGGGTTAACCAGGCAGCTTCAGGGACAGCGCAGGCTGGGGCTTCGGGAGAGAGAAAGAGGCTTCTGAGATCAGGACAACTGAGGGGCTAAGGGAAGCCCCCGAGATAAGGGCAGCAAACTCCAAGGGGGGTTAATCAGATACCCCAACACCAGGGACAGTGGCTGTCCCTGGACAGGGCAATAAGAAGCGGGGTTCTCTGATAAGGCTGTGACGCGGGGAGAGTCCAGGCACCGTGGCAGATTAAGTGAGACCACCGAGAACTGACTGGTCACAGAGAGATGACGGAATTTTAGAAGAATTAGGTGGGAAAGTGTGTTCCCGCAGCAGGACTCCAGAACACTCCCTTGCCCCTCCCGGGACATCACCCCCGGGGTCTTTGCTTTTGTTTTTTTCCCTAGATAAGCTTCACTTTTTTTTTTTTTTTTAAGATTTATTTATTTGTTTATACAAGCACTGGGTACAGTCAGAAGCACGGGAGGGTGAGAGGATTCACCAGAGCCAGAGCGGGGAGCAGAGCAGGCAGACTGATGAAATAAACTGTTGAGGGGAGCAGCGGGTGCAGCAGGAGAGGCCTGCACACCATGTGGGACCCTCGCCAGCAGCCGGGGATCAAACCAGTGCTGCAGAGGCTGACGGGCAGCTTCGCAACCCAGCGCTCTACTGCTGCGCCACCTGGGGAGGCTTAAGTTTTACTTTCTTGAACAAGGTTTGCTTCTCTCTGCTTACTTATCTGAACGGCCCGTGAATTCCCTTTTATGGCTTTGCAAGGCAAGAACTTGTGATTAAGGGGTCACCAGGGCGGGCAGTGGGGGCAGCTGTAAGCACGGCAGCAGCGCACGCCGGCTCCACAACCACACACAGGCCCGCGTGTGCATTTACCAAGAGAAGCCAAGGGATGTTTCGGGGAGACTCTCCTCTGGGTGAATCGTGCCTCCTCCATGGGGCACTGCCTGGGCACTGCCAGCCCCACACTCAGCACATTTCCAGACTCACACGTGAACACAAGCGAATTCTTCAACATCTTAAACAATTCAGTCAATTCTGACTGTAGGGCAAGGAAAAATATCAGGCTTTTCTGCCCTCCCGCATCAGGATAGACGATGGATCCTTGCAGTTCTGAATGCATGCCTGATGGCGGCACCCGGATTTAGGGTGTGGGCCTAGGTAGATGGGATTCCCCTGGCTGAGACTGGGCTTTTAAGGGCGGCGTCACGGGGACGCCAGTAGAAGCCGAGAATGAACAGAAGCCGACAGAGAAGCAGAGAAGGCCAGAGAGCCCAGCTAGAATGAGGACTTGCTGGGGGCTGGGGCCTGCCAGCCTCCAGGCCCCCCAGCGCCCCTGCCTGCCGTGTGCCTAGTAAATCCCAATAAAAGACTCTCAAAAGCCACTGAGGACTCTGACTCCTCCTTTACCTGGTCTGCTGGGTCCTAGAAAACCTGCACCGTGTCTGTTCCTGCCCTTTACACGGACGTTATAACTGGTTTTTTGTGACTGTAGAGCTTGCAAAGGAATCTACATTCCAGCATTTTTTCCCCTCCATTATAAAATACAGGAGAGGGTGAGATGAGCTAGTCCTTACGCTGGGTCTGCACAGACTCAGAGCCTCGGCGAAGCCAGTGGAAGTCTTCCAAAGTGCCGGCGGACAGGCGCTATCGCGTGACATAAACCATCGACAGAAGTGCCCGGCGGAGGAAGCAGCTGAATCCCCTTGTACTTATCCCGCCTTCACAGAGGCCGTCATTTGCTAAATGAGAGTGGGCTGGTGGGGGGAGTTGAGTCTAATTTCAAAGGTGTATAACATTCGCCAGACTCCAGGGATCAGGCACTTTATCTCCCATAAAAAGTTACAAATTAGTGCAGGCAAAGGCAGAGTCTGAGATTGCAGAAGCATTTTTGATCAAGCCGACCCTTCCTAAGGGATCCTCACCACCCGCCTCCACGGCTCCCACCAGGCTCCGGGAACGCCCTTGAAAATCGGGCTGCCAAGCACGGCTGCGGCCGGGGGCTCTTGGCCGAGGGGATCGTCACATTCCAGCAGATAAAATAAATTGTCTGGGGTGCAGGCGATGAGCACAGCAGGACCCCAGGAGAGCCGTGTGGGCAGAGGCGGTTCTGGAACCCAGGGGAGGCTGAGACGCCGTGGAAGGCCTCGCGCTCAGCACACGGGGCCTCGGAGCCCTCGGAGCCCACGGGTCTTCCCGCGGAGCGAAACCCACGGATAAGTTGAGTCTCTGGCATTCCCGCTTCGGGGCTGCTGGCCCTGGCCATTCAGACGGTTTTACAAACGCTGTCGCTCTAATGTCAAGGCCCGAACGTGAGCTGGGGTGTGCGGCTTGGGAAGACCCCAGGAGGCTCGGCACGTCCAGAGATCGCCCCGCTTCCGCTATACGCGCTGCGGCTGGCGCCGGGAGAGGGGCGTGAAGGGGACCCTGTGGGCCTCGGCTGCAGGAGCCGCCTCTGTCCTTCTGCTCTGTGACCTCACGTGACCTCCAGGTGAACATGGAGCCTGCGGAAGTCAGGCGGGGTTGACTCATGTTTCTCAAACATTTGAAGCCGCTGGCTGCCGCCTGATGGGGTGGTGAGACGATCCATGGGCAGAACGTGAACCCCCCCACTTCTTTCCTTCGTTTCCATTTTTCACTTTACTTCTAAACCTCAAAATATCTCATCGCCCCCCCTTTGGCTAAGACTGTCCTGTCTCCTCCCCCCATTCTCTCTGGAAACACACCTGACCCCCTCCTGTCCAGGTGAGAACAGGCCTCCACTGACTCGCCGCGGCCAGGTTCCCCAAAACAACCCAGGAGGCAACTTCATTTCCTTCCCAGTGATTTCCTGACTGGGCCCCACGGGGCACTCGGGTGAGGAAGAGACTTGTCAGCACTGAGGCGCAGGGCAAGCGGAGAGCCCTTCGGGTCAGAATAAAATAGGAAAAGCCTCGGGGGAATAAGGAGGGCTCCAGAGAGAAGGACAACCACTGAAGAGGGCTAAGCACACTCCCAGGACGAGGGGCAACAGGACGTTCCGGAACAAGGATGACAAAGAAAAGTGTGCGAAGATCAGGGCTGGGACGCGCAGACGGAGTTCTGGGCACAGAGACAATTAGGCAGTGAGACTATAACAGGGGGGTCCCCAGGAAAGGGGGAGGTTCCAGGTTCCCTGCCCCACCCAAGGGAGGGTGGAGCTGAGCAGGGAGAGAAGAAGCTGCAGAGGAGACTGAGGAAGGAAGGAAGCAGGATGGAGCCAGGAGGAGACCTGGAGGAGGCTCATGGAGCCTAGAGACACGTGAAGAAACTGCGCTTGTCTTTTGGTCGTGGATGGGGTGACACAGATGTGGGTGAGACCCGTGGGGAGGGGACAGTGGCAGTTTTTGTCTTGATTTGCTCTTTTCCTCCCAGACATGTCTGGGTGTTTCTGTGGGTCCCCACGGGAAGGCGCTTAGGATTTGTGGCAGATTTGGGGCCCTGCTCTGGGCCAATCCTGCTGGGGTGGACTTTTTCCCATGAGGGGACGGGTCACTTTGGGTGCTTGATTTAGAAACTATGTTCTTTGCTTTCCTGTCTTGTTTCCTAACTGTATTAAAGTTACTTTTCTTTATGTTTTGTGCGATGCGGCGGATGGCAGACCCTATTTAGAGCAGGCAGGTTTGCGGGTCTGGGCTGCCCCCCTCCCTGCCCTGTAACAAGACCACCGAGCACTAACCAATCAGAGGGACTGGATCAGGGCTAGACGGTCTACATTCCCTGAGGCTCGGCTCCACTTTGGCTTCCTTGCCCCTCCCTGGCCCGGGAGTCCCACTTTATTTCTGTTCCTTTTCTCCTCAATAAACCTTTTCTGTCTCTAAACAAATCTGCCTCTTCTCGCTTGCTTATCTGAGTGTCTGCCGAGTTCCCGCTGCGGCTTCGTGAGACACCAGCCCCTGGTGGTCTAGGGGCTGGACTCGGCGCCGCCCTGCAGCCTGGAACCCATTCGGCTGGGAGACTAGGCCTGAAGCCCTGAAATTACGGTATCAGCTGGAAAAGGTGAGAAAACAAGTTTGATTTCTCCACAGGCTGATCTCGGTGGTCAGCCAGATGCTAGGACTCGCTGATTTTTTTCATCTAGGTGCAAAGAACTTGCTTTCAGAGACAAGGTTCTGGGAAGCAGTGGGTTTAGAAAAACAACCCCACAACTCAGTCCTGGACGCACGCCCTCAGCGGCCCGTGGGGTGCCGGCTAGGACGCCAGATGCCTTACCTTCCCCTCTGCACACTTGGTGCCTGCAAGCACCAGCCCGGGGTCTGGCAGGTCATCACCCAGGTACACGTGGGTCCCCCGGCACAGGATGCGACCACCTTCCTGCAGTGGGATGTTCGTTTCTATGGAAACAGCGTTGGTACCAATGACGGGCCGGCTGGCGCCTCCTTGACACTGGATTTTTCCACACTGAGCATCTCTGGAGGGCGAGAACAAAGGGCCCCAGAGGGGGAGGTCTGGAAGCAGCCCTGTGGGGGTGGGGGGCTCCCGTGGCCGGCGTGGGGCGCACCCTCTGTACCTGGTCTCACACTTAGCAAAGGAGCTCTTCGAGTCCTTCCCGCAGTTGCCGTAGGGGTCGCCTGCAGAGTTGACTCTCTCGAAGCAGATCCCCGGGGCCGGCTTAGCACCTGCAACAGAAGCAAGGTGCCCTTCACCTCCTGCAGGTGTCGCCAGTAGTTTCCACGGCGCAGACCTCTCCTGCTTCCCCGCTGCTCCCCTCAGCAGTGGATTTCAGTCCATCTGCCTGTTCTGCGCCCCGCTCTGTCTCTGGGGAATCCTCGCAGCCCCCGCACCTCTGGCCTGCACCTCAGCTCTTGAATGCATAAATAAATCTTTAAAAAAAAATGAAAGGCACCGGGCCTTCAGGTACAGGGGAGGTGTGTCTGTGGCCCGGGAAACCACGCTAGCATCCCGCTGACACGTGGCAGCTGGCGGCGGGGGCCGGGGCAGCAGCCCCTGTGCGCAGCTCAGGTCAAGCAGCGAGAGCTCCCTCCTCGGTGCTCAGGGCCCGGGCAGCCTCTGGGGAGGTGAGGCCTGGAGGCAGCCCAGCCCTTCCAGCCCAGCGAGGGGCCGGCCGGCTGGCTGCTGGGAGAGGGGAGGCTTGTTCTCTTTAACGACTTCCCACGCAATTCCGGTGAGAAGGCGCAGGCGAGGGCGGCTGCACGGAGTAGTGACTAATGTAGGGGAGATCAGACCAGCGAGGCACACAAGGAGCTTGTCCAGCCCCGGGAGGCGCCCGGGAGAGCACGCACAGGCCCCACCACGTGCAGGGCACTGCGCCCCCCAGGGGCCGCGGAGATGAGACCCAAGGCCACGGCCCAGCAGGGAGGCCCGCGGGAGCCGAGGGGCCCAGGAAACAACCGTTCTTAGCACATCTTCCTGCCAGGGAGAGAAAGCAGATAAATTGCAGGTGGCGCTGCCCAAGTTTTGGAGGCTCCAAACCCAAAGAGTAGTGACAGCTGCTGAAGGCTCTCTGAGAAAGTCAGGAAAACGCTCCACATCGAGAAGGAGCCGTGCCCGGGAGTGACCGCTGCTCCTCTCCCCATGCTGTCCTGGCCGGACGAGCCTCACATTCCCGTCCACCTGCCGGGACGCACCTGGCCCAGAGCCCCGCTCGGCCCCTGGCCCCTGCGCTGCCAGCCCTGGGGCTCCCTGTGCTGTTTCAGGTGCCACCGAACAGCGGACAGGCGCCCCTGCTCCTGGGAGACACGACCCCTCCTCCTTCCTTCAACCCGCACCCGGCTCCGTGCCCCCAGCTGTGAGCAGACGTGCTCGGCACCTCACTTAGACGGCAGGTACATCGAACCCAACAACACCCGGCCACAGCTGAGGCCAGCAAGGGGTTCAGGCACTGACACGGGAAAAACATCACTCTGGCCCCGGGCCTCTCATTTCCCCATGCTGTCTTTAAAACTATTTTAGAGGCGCCTCCCCATACCCCTTTATCAGGGCATCACCCCAAACCAGACACAATTCTCTGTCACGGGAAAGCTGAGGGCCCCGGTCCTCAGCATCAGGCTTTGTTTACTGCTCCCAGGCTCGCATCTTTGCTCGTGGTGTGACGGCACCAGTGCATGCCATGGGCCCTCCGTTCCCACATCCTCCCCTCCTAGGCTTTCTCACCAACCTGTTAGAGGGCGGGGTGAGGAGGATGAGGGACAAAGAGCATCCTCGCAGCTGCGCCTTCCCTCGCCCTTACACAAGCACACCCCGGCCCGCCCTGGGGCTCCAGCATGGGTGGGTCACATACCAGGTACACACACGGATCTTAAATCCTTATCCCCGCCTTGTGAGGCCCACATAGCCCTTTGCACAGCTTTCACCACGCTGCAGGCTTGCTGAGGGTCACACGATGAGTAAATGGTGGAAATGAGCAAATGGACGGAAAACCAAACCGTCTTTCCGTCCAGGCACGGTCCTGCTCTGCCTTCCCCTCGGAAGCCCTTGCGGGCCAGACTCCTTTTCCTCCAGGACCACCAGCAGACTCCGGTCGCCCACCTGTTCTTGGGCTGGCCCTACCTCCACCAAACCCCTTTCCAAAGAGCACCTTGGCAGGCCAAGACACAGCTGCCTGCTGGTTTCTCCTGTGCTGGCCTGAACTAGGTGATGAGCCCTTGAGCCCAAGCCCCCGGGGGCCTCCCTCCCAGAGGAGGAGAGAGAAACTGCGGGTGCCTCAATGCCTTATTGTTGACGCTCCACTGCTGCAGGAAATGAATGGAAAATTCTCAATACAATGACTTGGAAGCTTTTCAGGGGGAAGCCAGCCCACAAAGAAACAAGCTGAGGAGTCAGGCCAGCAGTGCGGTGGAGGGAAGGGAAACTGGCCCAGCCTCCATGGGAAACAGCTGGAGATCCTCACAAGATTAAAAATATAACTTCCGCACAATCTAAGAATTTCTCTACTAGGTGCTATCCCAAGACGGCGAAAACACTAATTCAAAAAGATCCACGCACCTTGGGGCCCCGCAACTCTATCCACAACGGCCACGTCCAGGGAACACCCTGATGCCATCAGTGGGGGTGAGTCAAGAAGATGAGGTCTGCGGAGGGGAGCAGCGGGCGTGTTCTGCTCCCCACTCTGTCTCTGGTGAATGCTCTCACCACCCACACCTCTGGCCTGCACCCCGGCTCTTGCGTGCATACATAAATAAACCTTTTTTTAAAAAAAGATGAGGTCTCGATACCCAATGGTCCGTTCTACAAAAAAGACGAAATCCTGCCTCTTGTGATGTAGTGCAGGGAACTGGAGGGGATTATGTTAAGCAAAGTAAGTCAGAAGGAGAAATGTTAGGGGGAAAAGGATGTCCCAAAGCAAATTCCATATAGGCTTTGTGGACTCCACCCCCACCCCAGGTCAAAGCCAAAGACACTGGGAACTCCAAATCCCATCCCACCAAAGGGAAGGTGGCTGGGACCTGAGGGTGGGGTTCAGCAGCCAGGTGGATAAAAGCCAGACACGTGGGCTTTGGGGCTCCCATTTTTGGCTCCCGCCAGCTCGCAGCGTCCGGCCAGCTCTGAGAGTGACTTTGGGTTTCCAGGTCGTCGGATCGGGTAGGACGCATGAAAGACTTTATTTCCCTATTTTCTCCCTGAGTTGTACATTTTCCTTATTTCTTTTTCTCTTGTAAATAAACCTTTTATTAACCCTTTTGTGTGTGTCTGTAGTGGAGTATTCATAAGTCCCTTTAAAGCGCGCGGGTGAGGACCCACAGCCAGGAACCTGTTTAATATCGGGGCTGCTCTATAACAGAAAGACAAATGCCGGATAGTTCCAGGCACACATGGGATATGAAGAAACAAAGTAATGAGCTAACAAAACCCAAGAATAACGATTCTTAGACTGGGACAGCAAAATGGTGGCTACAGAGGGGAAGGGATGGGGTGTGATAAACAGGCCTGGGCATCAATTTGAACTCTGGTGCTGGGGGAGATGCAGGCTACACGGGTGAGGCGTGGAGCCGCACTCCTGAACTCCACAGTGTTGTAAACCCACGGCAAGGCAATAAAGCGCTTCTTACTTCACTGGTATTCTCTGGCCTGGTGGCTTGAGCAATGCAGAGCTCCAGAAGTAACTTTCTGTGTGTCCAGGGAAGCAATGACTGTCTATATCCAAGAGTTTTGTTTATTTGGGTTGTCATCCGAAACTTCAGGTGCAGGACATGCCATGGGACACATGTTGCCCATTGCCAAGGGGCACAGCTCACCACAGAGGCAAAGAACCCCCCCCCCCCACGGATGAGCTGTGGGCAGGCATTCACCAGCACACAAACCCGGGGAGAGGACAGACCTCTGACCCCAAGAGCAGGGTATGGCCCCAAGCCCCAAGGCATGTTCTTCCTTCCCCCGCCTGGAGCGTGATGGGCAGCCGTGCTGGAGAAGGTCTTTCGCATCCTGGGTCATCCTGCACTTAGGGACTGAACCCCCACCGTCCCTCCAGACCCCCGAGCTGTTTCCAAGGTTGGGGGTGTGAGTGGGCAAGCTGGAGGGGGCGGGGCAGGGATGGGTTTACGGGGGTGTTTCCATCCAGCCGACTCCTGCTTCCTGCCTTGGAGTCTCCTTACTGGATGAGAAATCCTCCGCAGAGACACCGATGTTCAAAGGCCGAGGGGTTTAAGATGAGTGGAACTTATTTTAGAAGTTAATAAGCAGCTGAGACTGGGCCCTGATGCTTTTCCTCCAGGTTCAGGCTGTAGGACGGTGCCAGGCACGGCCCGGGCCACCTCTTGGGGCCAGCAAGCTTCCAGCATCACCTCTTCTGCTAGCACCAGCTGCACCCCGGCCACGCCTCCTGCCGAGATCGCTGTAGGACAATGCGGGGAGGACTTTGCTTTGGGGCCGGGACAACGTGAATTGCAGGAGACATGGGTCGATCAATTTCTCTTTCATCTGACATCTCTCCTGTATTCCTTTTTCTAGAACAAATACACTTTTCTTCAGGGAAATCCATTCTCTATAGTTCAGGCGGGACTGACTTTCCTGCCCAACACCAAAGGGATGGGCACACAACCCGAGTGGCCAGCGCACAGCTGCTGAGGCAGGGTCTGGGCCAGGCACACAGCTGAGCCCAGGAGACCGGCGTCTTCCTTGGAGTCTCCTGCTGGAGCGGTTACCAGCAGGTCCCGGCTGCTGTTCTGCCCGACTTTGCCCATTTTTCCTTCATGCCTTCCTCTGTCCCCACCTCCCCATGCGGCTGGGGTCCCCCCTTGGCTCTCTTCCAGCCGTGTGGGCCTTCTCCTCCTTGCACCTGCCACCCTGGCTTCTGCCTCTCGTGCTGTTGTCCCAAGGCGGCCCCCGCAGAGCGGGGCACAGAGCAGGCAAGTTCCAGAACCGAGCTAGGGAAGCGCGTCCCCTCTCCAGCCCCTTCCCCAGAGGGTGAGGATGGCCATTCCCGGAGAACAGAGCATCTGGGGGAATGGAGGCAACCTCCTGGCTTATCTCGTCTGTGACAGGGGCTTTTACTTTCTCACTGAAGCTGTTACCAGGCTGCCTTACAAGGAAAGAAGATCGAGTGAGACCAGGAAAGGACAGATATTTCAGTCCCTGGCGAGAGAAATGGTCATCCCCTCCAGCTGAGGTCAAGTGGGAGACGCGTGGGCAGGGGTCAGGGTGGACGCTCAGCACCAGGCAG